TTGCGAACTTTCAGGGAAACCTGAAGAGATTCTTAGGGTTATCTATCAGGAAAACGGGATAAGCTCAGGCGTTCTCAATAGGCTTGAATGCAGAGTTTTCAAAACTCAACTTTTCGAAACAAAAGTTCTTTTGTGGTGCGGAGGGACCTTTGCCAAACCGAAGTGGAAAAACTCGTAACTGATCGAGAAAATAATCGGAATGACAATTTCGCTTTATAGGGAGAGTGAGTCGCGTAAACGTGCGCAAGTAAGATCAATCTCCATCAGTGTACCCTTGGGAAGACTTGACTCTCGATATTCACTTAATGAGAGTTTGTTTGGATGCCTGCAGGTTAAAACCAAAAACAGTGAGATTCGTTTTACAATACCAACCTTATTTTCTCCGATCAGCTCTGTGATGAAAACAAGTGCGATGACCTGCATAATGGACAGACCACTTCCCATAACTATCACTTGTGCATAGGTTGAATGCCTGGTGGAGAGGGTTTGAAAATAGCTCCAAACAGCACAGCCTAACACTATAGAGCCCGCCAAAAGGTAACTCCACTAAACGCCGGGAAAAATGAAAAATTAAAGCTTAAAAGATCTATTAGTCACAATTTACAGTAGAAAAGCTAATTATTTTGTAATAGTATGTTTTTCAGACAAAGAAAACTGCATACAACTTATCATTTATTGTTTTCTCAGAACTAACCCACTGACCGAATGTGCCATTTTGAAAAAACTGCTGTTTTCATAAAAATATATAAAATAGGGTCACACGTGTGACTGCCCAGCTGGAACGAAACTGTTAATTATTGAACTCGTGTTATGGCCATACTTTGCTTCCAATCTTCCTGTTGAGTCCGTTGCAGATTGAACTTGAAAAAGAGGCACTGATAAGGAGCACAACTGGAAAATAGGCGATGGCTTCCTAAGACAGGAAAAAAAAACACAGCGTTTTCTAGAAAACACGTGAACATCGCAAATGGTAACATAAATTGAATTAATTAGAGAAGATTGAACCACGATACCTTTGCAAATAGTAGCCTTTCTGTAAGGAAAAGAGGTAAATATCCATATACAGAGTCCTGCGCAAGGCGTGAACATGTAAATATGATGGCTACCTGAAAATGACACAAGAAAATAAAGCTTTTACACCTTTTACGCGAAAATAAGCAAGACAATAAGGTGT